CACTAGCAGCAGCAATCAGGCAAACAACAGGTATTAAAGGCATAAAGTGTAAGAAAATAGAACATAAGATCAGTCTTTATGCAGATGATGTTTTACTCTTTCTCCAGAATTCTCAATCCTCTCTCTCCCATTCAATAGAACTGATAAACTCTTTTTCAAATGTTTCATATCACTCTATAAACTGGTTAAAATCCACAGTTCTACTAATTAATTTCTCTTTTGTCAATTTACTTAATACACAATTGGAGTCAGGGAATATCACATACCTGGGAATTACTGTCTCTCCCAAGTTGGCAGATCTAACCAAACTAAACTACATCCCACTTTTAAAGAAAGTGGAAGATGATCTTGCAAGATGGAAGTCCTTACCGATATCACTCATGGGGAGAGTTGCTACAATTAAAATGATGGTCTTACCCAGAATAAATTATTTATTTTCAATGAGCCCAAACAAACCACCAGCTGACTGGTTTAGATCTCTGGACTCCTCCCTTACCAAATTACTTTGGCAGGATAAACCTCCATGAATTAGCTTAAAAACGCTTCAGATGATCAAAGACAAAAGAGGACTGGATCTACCCAACTTTTATTATTATTTCTTAGCCAACAGGCTGCAATATATACCAAGATGGTTGCAAGATAACCCACTAGATGAGTCTTGGTTAGACATAGAACAGACACATTGCAATACGATAGAGCTTTCAGACTTACCATTTGTTAGCTCAAGCATAAGAAAACATGAAGGCTTCAAAAGTATTAGTATCAGCACCTCTCTGACAGCATGGTGGGAGTATCTAAAAATGACCGAGTCTTCACTATTACCATGCAGACGCACACCTATCTGGAAAAATCCTGATATTTAGAAAAACAATAAAATGATGAACCTTCCAGACTGGAAAAATAAAGAAATCATATACCCGGAGCACATATATGAAGGATTGACCTTCATCCCATTTAATAGAAGAGTCTCCCAATTTGGAATAGGTAAGAATAGCTTTTTAGAATATCACCAAATTAAATCCATAGTCAAACAAAAATTTAAGCTCATTAAAATAGAATTACAAACACCACCAAGGGTATTAGACTTCTATAATCTCAAACCCCCCAAACTACTGTCTAATGTATATAAGACACTGTCCAAAATAGATGATAGAATAGCAATCCCTATTGAAAAATGGGAGGTGGATCTATCAGTCAGCCTCAACCAGAACTTCTGGTCCCAAACTTGTTTAAAAACTTTTAAAATGATCAGACATTCCAATTTACAATTAATTCAGCACAAAATTCTACACAGAGTACACTATACAGGTCATCGGATGTTCAAGATAGGGTTTGTGCCGTCTGACACGTGTACACACTGCACAAACATCATTCCTGACAATTACATTCACGCACTGTGGTCCTGTCCACCTGTCCAGGTATTTTGGGGTAGAGTATGTGAAGACCTGTCAAAGTGTCTGAAATGTGATATCCCAACCGCCCCCCTCTCTTTGTTTACTGGGAAACCTGGACGATGTCCCAATTAAAACATCTTTGGCTCACGTGGTTCTGACTGCCATATGCATCGCTAAGAAAACTATCCTCTTGAATTGGAAAAATAGAGATACTCTTTGCATCAACCAGTATAGAAATCTTTTGTTAGATCATATTTCACTTGATATAGCCTCTGCTTCCACTTCAAATCCATCTCTCTGGGGGTGTGGGGGTGACCAGCCCCGTGGGGGGGATCTGGGCGGGGCCTTGGGGGTCGGGTCCTTACATGTATGCTGCCAGGGAGATGGCAGGAACATGCAGCAGTGCCTGACTCAGGTTCAGGGGCCTCAGGTAGACCTTGGCTCCTCTGCTGTCCCATCACAGAGGAGGGGGAAGTCCAGGAGGGGGAGGACCCAGCCTTACCTGGATGTCCTATGTCTTTTATAATCCGGAAGTTGTGCAAATGCAGGGATGGGCGTAGATATTCTACTGGGGTGGGGCTGGGTTGGTGCCCTCGGACTCCGTGAGGCTCTGTGATGCTGCTGCTTTGGGCCCTGGCAGGATAGACTGGGGGTCTCCGTGCTCTGGGTGGCATTTTGACAACAGAGATGCCTATTGGGGCCAGTGGGGGAGCTGGCTCCCTGGGGGGCTAAGCCCAACTAGCCATTCCTCCCCATCCCCGCACATTTCTCTCCTCCTGCTCCCTCACATCATCACACAAACATGCACATAGGACCTTGGGGGTTGGACAAGTCAGGGAGTGTGGGCATGGACCCCATTTCCTCATTCCTGTGGCAACCTGCCCCCCAATTTTATTCGCACCTTAAACACCTCCGCCATCGACATTCCACACAAACACACACTTAGGGCCTTTGGAGTGAGCACATTCAATGGCATTTGACCGGGGGATTTCTCAGCCTCATCCCAAGTGCCGGAGCCCATTTCCAATTTTAAACTGCACTTAGACACTGAGGGCTGTGGGTGCAAGTGGGGTGGTGTGGTGGCATCAGCTGGCATTGGCCAGATGATGCCCGCACTGCCCGCTCACCACAGCCATGGAATACACCTCATCAACACTCACTAACACCATATTGGAGCAGGCAGAGGGAG